TTAGGTAAATGATTACAAGAGGCAGCTATGGCAGGAGCCTGTAGAGACAGACTGTAAAGTGAATGAGCAGACACACAGACAAGGTCAGGAAGCTAACAGTGAAGGTGGCTCATTTTGGTGAGGTTTCTTTTAACTAAGTAAAATATTAAAGGCATGCCTATACAAAAATACAACCAATCCCACTGCCAGATGCAAACTATTCAGTCAAAACGACTACTACAGTTGCTGAAAAATTGAAGAAGCCAGCAGTTTAGAGGACAGCCATAAGCCATGCTGTTACACATCTTACTCTAGGCCTCATGCCTACATATTCACTGTGTGACAACAGAAGACACTTCTGTCCCTTTTAGTGTATGCCCCACCATGGGATATGTGTTTCACTGCAGCCATATCTGAATGTGTGCCTTGCAGCTGCGCCTCAGATGATTTGGGTTTGGAGGGTTTTCTTCTAGCATCAAAAAAAAATATCAATTCATCCTCTATTGCACTACAGTCACCCAGGTGATCTTGGGTCGGATTGTCAGATGAACATCACTGGGCTGAGTAGCAGACTCGTCTTCAGCATCTGTCTGAACTAGAAGCCTGATGGTTCGTGCTACATCACATCCCTCACTCCCCATTTTTTTCTTTGATGCGGCTGAAACTAAATTTCAGACAAAAATGTTCTCATTGGTTTGAAAAGGCTGCAGCAGAGCTCTGGTTCTACTGCACCTAGAACAGGCTGCCTAATATTACATCTTGAATTTAATCTTTAAGACTGCTTTTCCATGTGACCCAACATCTTTCTAGAGCACTCAGAGAGCCCTTGGCCGCAGTGAGAGCTGCCAATATTCACAGCATTTGAAAGTGAACCAGGAGAACTACCTCAGACAGAAGGAACAGATCTCTTGTGCTGACAGACTCAACACGTTTGGGGTCTGACTTTGCCAAGAGCATTCTTTTCTCTCACACCTACTGGAGTGGACCTGCTAACATTTAAGATGTATCCAACACTTCCACTTTCAGCTGCTTGCATTTCTAGCAAATTTATTTTTTTAAGTAAATTTTAATTTAATTTAAACTGCTGTCCCAATGTCCCTATTCCTACCTTGGAAATGCTTGGAGCCTTGCATTAGATGTGCTGTTTGGAGGTTTTTGATTGTCCCTATACAGGTCTTCTATCTGACAGCCACTCTTCAGACCCAGTTAAGTGTGATTATGCCAACTTTCCACATCCAGAGGTAAAGCTCCCTATGGTCTTCTCCTGCCAGAGGAGTACAGGATGAAACGAAACTCTCAGAACTTTAGCAGCTGATGGGTTTGTCATTTAGGAAGGGCAGCAGAATGGAAACACTTTATAGGAGCCTTCTTCGTGGTCAAGTCAAGGAGCCAGTTACAGCTCAACATACTTTGAGGTAGTTCCTGGAGCTGGCCTAAGACCTGGTCCTGAAAGCATTGCCTTTGACTTAAATAATACCAAGATGAAAATTTACATCTCGCTGGATCTCTGGTGCTGGATCTAATGTGCCTTTGTCTGTGCTTCACGATCACTGTGTTTAGAGAGACAGCTCTTTGCTCTTTGGGTACCTAAGGCCAGATACGCTCCTGGAATCTGCTAGAAAAACACATTGGCACTTCAGGCAAACAACAGACCAAAATGATGGAAATAATGAGAACAACGACAACAGGAGGAATATTCGGCATTATGAGTGAGGATCCTTTGAAATCTGTTAGTGACAGAGGAAGAGGAGTTTCAATGCACCAGCATTCACCATGTTTCGCTGTGTCATTCCATGAATTTCTCCTTAATTTCAGAAAGACAATTCAGTAGCTCCTGGCTTCTACATTTTATTTTTTTTCTCATCTACCAGCCAGCAGAAGCAGAAAAAATAAACACACAACTAGGAGCTGTATTCACAGACAGGAAGTAACTTTAATTAAATATTGTGAAAGTTGAAAAGTTTTTACAGCTTGAATTTCTGCAAAAAAATTATAACAATCTCTACAGTAGTTAGTTTCTCTAACAATAGAACTGTACAGTGTGTGTGTCTATTCAAAAAGATTTAGATAAGAAGGTGAAAGGTTAGTAGTTTCAGAGATGACTTCATTTTAGCTGCATCCTAATACAACTGTGAGGAAATAGGCATACTTTATGCAATCCAGTCATTGTGAAGCTTCACCTTGTTAAAACTGAAATCTGAATGTTTCCACTTAAAGCCATATTCTGTAAACAGCTGCATCTTTTACTTTGTAAAAGACAAGGGTGGTGCGGGGGAGATTTTTATAAATTCCCATCCATCAGATCACTGTAAATAGCTGCAAGGAAACAAAATGATGCACATTGTCAAAGGATCTTTGGACACTGGCGTACAAACATCGATGGCTAACATTGGTGTCAAAATCGCTATGACGCTGAGTGGAGCACTACTACGAGAGTAATTGATGGTGTCACTGGACAAAATATGGCTTTAAATTTGATTACATTGTCGTGCTGTTGCTTATTATGTGAATTAGAATAATCGCTTGGAATACAGAGAAGCAACAAACCGATGTCTCTCACATTTTCCAGTTTTCTCTTCTTTTATTTTCTCACCATGAAAAAAAAAAAAATCCTGTTTCTTTCCCTTCCCCCCAAAGATCACACTGTGACATTCTAGTGAAAACCATTGCAAAATTCATACAGGAAGCATGCACGGTTGCAGCATCGTTGTAAATGATTTCTTGCTCGACTAGAAAAAAGTTATATTGTTTTAAGGTAACAAAACAGTTCTTTTGTGCTTTTCAATTCCTTTTTTTTTTTTTCTTAGAATGTTAGTGATGATTGACAGTTCTGGTGCACAGTACAATGTACAAGTGAAATGAATATGATTTGCATTGTTAAGGCATCCAATCTGCTGGTTTATATTTATGTGAAAGACAGAGAAATATACAAGCAGACTTAAGAAAGAAAGTATTTTCATTGAGTTCTATGAAGTTTCTCCTCATATTTAATGCACAAAAATGCGTCACTCCAAAGAGGAGAAATCCCATGCATATTAATAGAGTAAAACAGCATTAGTTTTTGTTAAGCCTCAAAAGCAAAGGATACATTTCTTTTAAAATCTACATAACTAAATGCTACAAGAATAATATGCTACTTTTTGCCATATATTGGAAAAAACTTCTTAACTTACAAATAATACAAAAATAGACAATGGCTTTTGGGTGGAAATTAAAAAAAAATGGAAGCATGGTTTTAAACAATACTAAAAGAACTATAAATGAAATGTATTAAAAATCACATTTAAACAGCTAATACAACGGTGAATGACCAAACGAATCAGCACTTTTCACATAGCAAACATACACAATAAAATAAACTTGGTAGGGGAAAAAAAGCAATGTACAAATTCCAAAGATAAATACATTATTTATATGGATATTTTACAAAATCCCCTGAAAACAAACAAACAAAAAAAAAAACAGAAACAAGAAGCTTTTTTTTTATTTAATTAATTTTGCAAGTATGTGCAAGCTAAAGGTAGTGAGCTCTTTTTGCAAAATATGCAGTAAAATTCTTTTTTTGTGATCTTGAAAAACTGTCTTAAGACATTAAAATGTATAAATAGAACAACAACTTTGGCAAAAAATCACAAAAAATCTACAGTATTTATAACTACATACAAAACACAACAGCAAAGAAAAAATATCAGGTAATGCATCTTCAGAGCTTTGCTGCCTCTTTGACTAATAGTTTTTAAGAACACTTCCCAGATAATGATAGCAAAATTTTTGTAAAACAGAAGCTATGGGTTTGATTTGAAACCTTCCTAACACCCCCACCCCCAGCCCCAAACTCGTGTTTCCATTGACTACTCAAAAGCAGTTACCTGGTGCTTAATATATTATGATACAAACTGAGAGGGTTGACTGATACAGGAGCAATCCGAGTGGGAGGTGGAGGAAAGCGTGTGCTTTTGGACCGGGAGGATGCAGAACCACGGCCGAGCCGGTTCTCGTTCTGCCCCGTAAAAACAAATCGGTTGAGGGCAGAGGGATGCGGGATGGCCGCAGGCTGTGCCCTTCGGCGGCTGCCAAAGCCACATGGCATTTTATGCACAGCGCCGGTGACACTAAACTTCAAGAAGGCCACTCATTTGGAAAGAGTCTGATATATGAGCTAAAGAGAGAGCCACGCTCACCGAATCCTGCCGTTGGAGCATTAAATCTAGAGGCACTGATTTGCAGCTCAGGAGGAAATGTCTTTGCATCCTCACCTTTCCTTTCACCAACTTTTCTTGTTGTATTACTTAATTATTTAGCCGGATATTAAAGACAGAGGTTACTAATCCCACTCCTCATCCCGCCCTTGCCATCCAAAATTATCAGCTTTCTAGGGAGTGATGTCTATTTAATTAGAACATTAAAAATGCATCATATTAGCTAGTCACCACTGGATAAGCAACCTGTATGAGCCGACCCTTAATTAAATGGCCGTAATTCTTCTACGAAAAACTAACTGGCACTTCTATTCTGTCCCATACAGACTTGTAAGTAAATGACACCACTTCATTTTTCTTTACACAGCTTTAAAAAAAATCATAAATTAAAAATGTGGAGTTCCATCTCTAGTGTCCCTTGTGTAATTGTATGATTTATAAAAGACAAATGGTGTTGAGTTAAATCAAGCCTTAAAAAAAAACACAAAAAAAAAACACCCAGAAGGAAAAAAAAGCAAGCCCCCACCCCAACAGAAAAAAAAAAGTGGACTTTTATCAACATACAATAAATATATCTCCCAGGTACTTGGGATGGACAACTTGAATCAACACCTTGCAATTGTAGATTGTTAATTTCAGTATTTGCAAGGATGGTGATTTTTGTTTTGTTTAAAAATCCGCAGTTATTTTAAGATTCTTCTTTATTTCTTTTTTATTTTCTAAAAAGGCCTGAGTAAAAAGTTCCACTCGGGGACTTGTATCAGATTCTCTCTGAAGCAGAATTCAACCTCTTCATTAATAAAATTCTTCAAGGCAATTCTTTCACATGGGGGGAACAATCATGCCAGATATAGCTGTCAGAAGGAAAGGGAGGAGGGCAAGGGGAGAGAGAAAGGGGGAAAAAGTTACTTTTGTGCATTATCAGGCAACTTTCAAAATACTCAGAGCTTTTAAACATTTAGTAGCAACATAGCTGTAGTGTGAATTAAATTTATATATAAGTATCATTCAGTAGAGACAACTATGTACATATAAATCACAAGAAGCTTCATTCTGATCAGAAAGTGGTTTAAATTGCAAGTGACTGTACTGAAACTAGTGATTTTCTTGCAGAAAATGTGTGCTTTCCCTGCCATCAAGATCAGGCCCCAACTTAATTTTCTGATTTTAGTTTCAAAATCTCAGAATGCTCAGGAGGCTCACACCTGACCTGGCCATTGCCACACATTCTGTTACATTTTTAAAAGCAAAGCAGACACTTGCTCCACATAGGAGGAAATGGCTGGGGTCCCACAGGCAGCAACAGCACTGCTCTGGTTGGGTGGTGGCTGCATTAGGCACAGACAGTGCTGCTGTCTCCTACGCCAGTTCAACAATCAGCCTGGGATTTATGTATGCATTTCCAGGTGCTCAGAAAAGGGCTTGAAAATCTCAAAAACAGTTTTCAAATTGAAACATGTCCTTAACTCATGGTTTTATTACACTCGTAGCAGACATCACCAACTACACTGAGTGAGTTGTATGTTAATGATAATTTAGAATGTCTTCTCTTTTGCTGGCCACGTTGAATCATCAGTATTTCTTTATTATGCTTCCTAACTTCATTTCCTATTAAACTCTTACAGAGGAGACATTCATTAAAAGTCAACAGGTACAGTCTTCCACCTAGCTTGAACTCCAGCTTGGTCTCCCTCTATGCAGATCAGACACACCAGGTGCCTAAGTGACACACTGTGAGCAAGCTCATCATTACAGGAGGTAGTCATGCAAGTTTATGATACGAAAACTGTAACAACAACGTGTCTTTAAAATACGAGTTGTACGGTTATTTGCAAAAAGGTAGAAAACAGATTCACCTTCAGGTTGGCAGCACTTCATGGGCACATTATTTAAATGCTAGAACTGCCTGCCATCTCAGACATCTGGACATGTAATTTCTTAAGGAAGAACTCAACCCTGTGACTGGTGCTGATTCATTGTGCTTTAATTACAGCTGCAATTATTTGATAAGAACTGAGCCAAAGTAAAAGACTCACAGATTTGGGGTTGGAGGGGGAGAGGAGGGAAATGTTTTCTCCACAAACACCACCATATGTGCAAGAATTACAAGTCTAATCAGCAAGGGGAGAACAGCTCGAGTAAACTGCACTGATTAAATGAAATAAAATGAGAAGAGAAGGCAAGAATGCAAAACATATCCACATGTTTGCAACAGGCCATCATCAGAGGTGACATGTTGCAACTATACAGCAGCATTTCAACTCTTGGAAATTATCATTCAGCAATGTTTTTATGTGGAAGCACTGCACTGATTGTTTCCACTCCACATAAGGGCTCTTCAAGGAGCTCAGAGCAAGGATAAAAGCAATAGAGAGGTGACTTGAGCTGCTTTAAGCCCTACAGGAAGACACTCAAGTGACTAGCATGGAGGACACCACTAAGTCTTAGATGTTCCTTGCTGAGGTGTTTCCTGTCATGGGCTTTTTTCTGCTCTGCTATGGAGAAAATCTGAGGATGCATTTTGATATTATCTCCACAGCTAGGTTGTCTCCTTCAACTCAAATCACAGGATGAATTTGGTATTGCTTTTTTTTGTTTTAGAACCCTTGCTGATTTAATCAACACTGGGTGAAACAAGAGCAACTTTGTTTAAAAAAAAATGCTCAAAGGGTTTTATTTCAGCAGTGTCTCAAATAACAAGTTCTAAGTCCTCACAATTGGGCTGTCCCTTTGGTTCATGTGACTAAAAATGAAGGAAACCCAAGCCAAGCAATGCTCCTACTGTTGTGGTTGCTCCCTACCCTGCCCTTGGGATCCTTAGGGTGTGGGCCAGGGTATGGGCCTCTATGGCATCAATAAAATAGGTATTGACAGCAATGGAGACAGTCAACCAGACTCTAATTCTGCGGTGGCAGCCCCACAAGGCAGCCAAGTATGGCTAAGGAGAGTGTAATTTTATATGAATATATGGAACACTCACAAAGGCATGGACCAGAGACACAGGTTTTGTCTCAGTTCTCCTAGCTCATTGTATTACCTCAACCAATTTGATTTGTTTCCGTTTCTTACCTGAGGACAACAATTTTCATCCCTATTAGTAAAGCACTTGGAGATTTCTGGATGGCAGTTGTTTAGCAGAATATAGGGGTGGGACTGCAAGTGCTCGGACGTCAGCGCCGTATGTTACAGCACAGAGAAAAGCTCTACTGACAACAGTGCTCCCTTCTTTGCTGCTCACATAAGCAAGGAGTTGAGCAGATGGGAATGGGTAGAGTCTTCTATATGTGAAGAGTTCAGCTGAGCAGAGTCAGACAGATAATGAATCCTCTGTACATTCTATTTTAACCTTTTTTGTCCTTTTCAGTCCTTTCTAAATTCTAAATTTAGTGAAACTTTAAAGCAAGATGTTGTTTTGCTTTAGAAAAATTACCCACACTTTAGAAAATGTCAAAACATTGTTCCAACAAAAAAAAAATCTCAAGATAAAAGATTTATCAAAACCAAATCAATTTCTATAAGAAATGGTCAAGAACTGCCTCTCTCTTGGGACAGCACAGCTGTTTACCCTGGGTAAGGGCCCAAACGAAGGTAACGCTAATGCAACTCCTCCCTTCATGGCTTAGACATGTCCCTGTAGTTATATATCAGCCATGCACCTTTTGCCATTGGAAACAAATGGTACAGATGCAGATCTTAGCTCATTTTTTCAAAGCATTATTGTTTTTGAAGAGATCTGAAATTCTGAATTAAATTACAAGGCAAATGGCAAAATGATATCTTTTCCGCCTAAAAGCTTTGATATTTCCATTCGCTCGAAGTCTTCATTTATATCGCTCTACTTTTATCCCATAAGTGCTACATCTAGTCATGCAAATTCTCTCAGCTGTAGCATATTATTGATCCTGAAAACAGAGACATCAGTGGGAAACAGTGTAGGTATGAGATCACATCAGCTTCAAAAAGGGAGGGCAGAAGGTAGAAAAACTCCCACAAACGGGCATTATTTCTTCTATCATAAACTAATATGTATTTGCTGCTAGCAAATTACAAAAATAATGTATTTTGAGTTTTACAAAATTGCATGGCAAAGAGAACAACAGATAAGCCTAGCTGTTGTTTTAGTGAGTTCTGCTGATATCTAAGCTGCATAAAGAAAGCTTGATTGCTTTCTGATGTATCCAGAAGCCCAAGAGAGATAAGACAGCCTCCTTATACATGGTTGTTTATTTAAGCAATAAGGCACAACAGGCAGTGCATTTCTGAGTGATTATTACAAGCCTCAGGTGGTGTCAGAAGGCATGGGACTAAAGGCTGCTTGCCTTTAACTCACCAAGAAGTTGAGTGATGACCTAGAAACGAATCATCTCTTGGTGTCTCATTCCTATTATGAAAACCGAATTGCTAAATAAAAATTAGGGGAAGCACTCAGATCTGTGTGGTTTCTAGGCATTACAGCTCTGGATGTGACATAATGAGGAGGCAATCTGCAAGCCCCAGTTCTGTCCGGTGCTCTCAGCTCATCCCATAATAATTTTTCATAACTGAGTATGCAGAATCTGGGAATTCCGTGTCTTGTGAAAGAAAAGACAGTGCCTGAAAAAGCTTTCTCCTGTTACTTGCTTTTTTTTCTCCACCCGCAACAGAAAGTTGGGACAAGGTGAAGAGAAGAAAAAAAACATTAACATGCTCAAAAAGCTTCTAGCAGTCAACTCTTAGATCCCTTTTTACTTTTTAATTCAGAGGTGAAACATTTCAGCTGTTACCTTTAAAATCTGTAGCATGTCGGCAGTGCCAAATTTTTAAAACACACACAAAAAAATACTCTCCTAAACACTATAGCTCGTCTGATAATTTTGTGGTTTATTCCTGATGCAGTCTGTATTCATAACAAAGTCCTGACTGAATGTACCCAAGATCTGCTTATACATTCTTAAAATTTTCACAATTTCTGTGCGCAATGCTTTCCTTCAGTCTTTTCAGTGCTTTCCTTCAGTCACAATAGATCCCAGCTTTTATGAATGAATTCCTTCCACTCTGCCTGCATATAGATTTTTTTTTTGGCTGTTAATAGTGCTGTCAGCATTATGCCCGCAAGCCCGGCGTTTCTCTTTCCAGAGGCCATAGAGTGACATGTGGAGCCTGTGGAAATATCCTCCCCCCGCTCTGCTCATCTCCTTCTGAACGTAGCTTTAAAAATGACGGATTTTATTCCTTGCTAGATGCTCTTTGGCTAATTAGCACAGGCACGTGGAAAGGAAAACAGACCTCAGGTCTGGGGGAAGCACAACGCATACCGCAAAGTCTTTCCCACCTCTGGCACAGTTGGAGGCAGCTGCCTGCATCTGCTTATGGAAACTCCTCAGCCTAAGCGAGCATGAAAATGTCTCTCTCAGCACACTAATGCGTAGTGAGGTAATTACACTGGAAGGTTTAGGCAGTGTTGTAAAACAGGCTGAGCCAAACAATAGAATGGGCAGTGCTGGTCTTTGCAGCATCCTCAGCTTGACAAGCTTTTGTCTGTCACTCCCTCAGCTTGCATCAACGCTTCAAAACGTATTTAGGTGCTAGTGCTGGAATACTTTGTAATGAGAGGGGACGGGATGCAGAAAAGGAGCAGCCCCTTGATAACAACAGTTGAAGAGGCTTTCAGAAAGGCCCTGCGTCATTTATGGAATTAATTGGCACAGAAGTACATTAATCAGTGGAAACAAATGTTTGCCCTGGTATGAGTTAAACTGGAAAATGCTGCTGTTAGTTTGTAATGTGTCTTCTACTTATAAAAGGCAAAGGTTTGTGCCAAGCTCTGTAATGGTCTATTTGGTCTCAGTAGGATTTCTGCACAAGTGTACTATGACAAAGGAAAAAGAAAGGAAGGGAAGATTGAGTGACGTACTTCAGGAGAAGGCCAGCCCCTGGAGAGACCCTGCAGTGGAGTACTTGCTAGAGTCCACAAAAGACTGGTCTGATAAAGGACGACAACAGGGAATAAGAGAGGAAAGAAAGAAAAAGGATGGTATTAGTAAGCTGAAATATTACTTGTTTTTATCATAACAGTAGGTCTGTGCTTTAAAAGACACAGCCTCTCAATTCAGCAGTATTAGTTGAGTTAGAGACAGGGTGGTTGCCAAACACCTGCATGGTACGAGGTGGTGCAGTCCAGTTACACTTTACAGGAGGACACTTTAGGACAGAGACCACCAAGGATCCCCCTTTGTCTTCTATCCCCTTTGATAACTCAGTGGCACCTAGAGCCTTGCAAGGTGCAGCCATCTGTACTCCAGATTTGGTTTCACCTACCTTGCAGGCTATTGCCATTGGTGCTGGTGCAGGTGGGAGGAGGAGAAGTTTGCGGTCTCACGACAGGCGCAAAAGCACTCTTCTGTTTCACCGCTGAGACCATGTTGGCTGGTGAGAAGGAGAAAATCCCAGAGGAACTGCTACAGTTTGAGGGAAGGCTAGTGGAGGAGGCCATTGTCGGACTTGATGGCACAACTAGAGGAAAAAAAGACCCCCCCAGAAGGCATTCCTTAGTATTAGATAACCAACAGCCTGCAGAAACAAGACAATTCTGCTCTTTGGATGCACTGGGTCTAATTTCAAGTGGCCAAGGCCTTTACTGTAGTTAATTTTCTGGTTGTTCATGAAGTGTGATCAATCACTACAGGAAACCCACTTATTGTTTTGTTTTGTTTTGTTTTGTTTTGCAGGTGTTCAGGAGCAGTAATTCTAGGAGCTGTTAAAAACTCCCTTAATTCTCTGTCATAGCAACTCTTTATTCTTACAACAACCTTGTCCTGCCATCCTGTTTCAAACTTTTCTAATGATTGGCATTAGCCACTGCCCTGGTCTGACATAACACAGTTTTTGTGTAGGGGGTAAGAGGGAATCCGTACTGAATAGGTAACTAAGGGATTACAAAACTGATGGGCAAGGAGAGTGTTTGAAGTACAAACTTGGATCTTGAATTTTTAACTTGGAAAGGTTTGAGTTTTTAATTGGCCTCCAAAATGAGCATTTTAAGCCTTGCTTTTCTTGTAGCAAGATGGCTCCAGAAAGACCTACAGAGTTTCAAGCAAACTTGCAGAAGGTAGAGAGATGGCGAATTTTGAAAATTAAAGTCTGTTTTATACTGGTCAAGACAAAATTCTCTCAGAGGATCTATGACCACCATTCAAATCCAGTCAATACAAAATTCTCATTCAGTGTCATCGACTGGAATCTCAGCTGCAATAGCGAAGCAATGAAGCCATTCTGGTTTACTTCAAATGAAGATCAGGCTTTAACTACAAGACTGAATAAAATAAGAGTCTTCAGTTTTTCTACATAAATGTAGACATAAGGCTTTTCTCTTTTTTAGGGACTGGTGGTTCAGTTTTGAAATACATATATCCTTCAACTTTATTTTACTATATAGTGAGACAAATAGCTTTGGTTCATGTATTTATCACTGAGGATTTATGTTAATTTGTTTTAATGAAAATAAAGCAAACTACTTTCCTATTGACTTTTCAACATTAACAGTTTCCCCTCATATCCAACAAAAAAAAAAGGGGAAGGGACCAATAGTGAGATCCCTTAAGTTCATTCTTCGTACTGTTTAGCAACTGCTTATATACACGAGGAGGCCATGAATAATTACATATTATGGAGTAAAATTCCTATCATCTTGGCTTTGAATTATTATTTTATTTGCATTTATGTAGATAAAAATCACCCTATTTAAGTTCTTATTTGAGAATCTGATATCATATTTGTTAACACTGAGGAAATCAATTAATGGAAATTAAATGTTCAAAGTTTCACAGTCTGACAGATACAATCTTAGTCTGAAGTCACTCTATGTCTGGAAGTACTTGCTAAGGGAGAGCAATCAAAGCACCTAAATTGAATTGCTACTATACAGCAATTAGTTTATTGATTTAATTAAGAATGCCACCTTTTAATTTTCAGGTCATGATTGAAGCATTTTCTGATTCAATGGATTAGGCATTAGCAGAATGACAGATCTAGCAAGAAAACCTTCCAAAATATAACTGGAGAAACCAGGGCTGGGAAGTGAAGTGCTATTCTAAAGAGGACTTTGTTCATAAATATGAAATAATACACTGCTAGAGTATTTTAAATGCATTACTGGCATCTGCTTCCAAAAAGAGATGTCTCATCAATCATGTTATATTATGAATTCAGAGCGCGCAGATTCTATGACAGTAAATTCAACTTAATAAGTAAGGTACTTTGTAACATTGCTCGTTATATTATTATTAGAGTACAAAAATAATAACTGGTTAGCAATTCTCAGCTTATAAGTACTAGTTATGTGGGTAAATATTTTCTTCTAAATTTGCAGCAGCTAAGAAGTCTTGGAGGTAATTTTTTAAATGACGGTTACTACCCCCTTTTTAATTCTGAACTCTAGCAATGCAATCTGAAATAATTCATTACTGCTGTTACACCACTAAACCTAAAATTTGCTGTGTAAACCTTGGTATGTTCAGCAGTCTATTTGTCCTGTCCATGCTAGGGTCTCAGCCTATAAACCTATTTATATGAGAAGACTTTCTGGGCTGATTCTGCAAGCAGCTTTCTGCAGATGTCAGTGGAATCCTTTACGTCACATGAGAAATGTCAGAGGAATTGGGCAGGTCCTATTTATTTAATTTTCTCATGTGAATAAGGACTACTGAGCTGTGTGAATGGCTGCAGAGGAGGTTCATAGGCCTTTACCAATAGAAATGTATTTATATTTAAACAGAATACTAAACCTTTAATATCAAAAACCAGAGAGTTAGTTCTATACATAAATATTTCCATAACTGGGACTGTAGACCATAAGCTCTTTATGCCATAGAATATATGATTTGTATGACTTACATTTTAGTGGCATGCACCGTACAGACACTAAAACACAAACTCTAAGAGTCATTGTCACATGTTACAGACTAACACTAAGCTCTCAGTGAAGTCAATATAATACCTACTTACAAAGCAAATGTGGTACAAGCAATCAAGATTAGGCCAAATAATAGCAATTCATAATTTCTATAAAGGTTATGAACGTATTATTTGCTCAGAGGTCTTGGAAACATCATCATGCTGCTTATGGAAATGTCAGTCTTATTACAGTAAAGTTTGCTGTGCTTCATATCTTACAGCTGGAAAAACTATTTTTCCCACAGCAAAGATCCTTAGCTTCCTTTCATACCCATTGCAACAAAAAGTCATGTACTGACAATTGACTTCTGATCCACTCCAACAGGCATTAAGTCACTTACGCTGTCTCTGCTTTCTAGCAATGTTGAGGACAGCATTTCTTACTTACAGAGTGTAAGATAAGTTATGCCCAAATCATGAGAGATGTTATTTTTTTAGTTCTTATGATATAGTAATAGTAATAGTAATAGTAATAGTAATAGTAATAGTAATAGTAATACTAACAGTAACAGTAACAGTAACAGTACTAGTAATAAACAAAAACAGAGAAGAGCATTGCTGGCAATATTATATCTTCAAAGTGCTTCCACGGTCAGTGCCTCGGAGGGGAGAGAAAGGACCAAGCTCTGTTTCAGGTGTTCAAAATAGAAACCAAATATTGAATATCACAGAAAAGTCACCATCTCCTTCTAATGAAAATGTGCTAAATACAGGAAAGCCATATAGTACTCACTGGCATAGGGAGAATTGGCAGCAGATCCATTCAGGAAGGTTGGAGAACCGCCTAAATTTGACATTCCAGCATTCCCATAGCCATTCATGCTTGTTGTGACAGAGTTATAGTTTGTCTGCTGAGGGGTGGTGCTTGGCACATAGCCATGAGGTGACACGCTGCTTGAGTTGCGAGTAAAACCTTTTGTGGGGAGGCAATACATTTAGAAATTGGTATTAGCCCAAGAACAGTTTCTTACACAAACACCTACAAGCAAGTAACTCTGGGCTACCGAGCCAGCAGCCCAGTGCAGCCATGGTGTGCACATGGGAGGGTCATGACTGACCCCCCACTACCACCAGGTAACCCAAATTGTGAATCCTCCCTGCCTAGGATGGGAGCACAGAGGGGAAGGAGAGAGGCTACAGCCTTCACAGCTCCTCAGGCAACCCATGCCCTCAAGCAAAGATACCATTGGGTATTACAGGAAGCTCACTCTAAAAGAGCTGTTTGTAGGGAATGGAGTAAACATGACCTACATTTTCAAAGTGAGGAGTGCATACAGACCTAAGGTATGCTAAAAGCATGTGATTTTTGTTAACTCTTCTGATGTCACTCTCATTTAACACATCTCACATTAGATGCTCACTGCACACTTGAGAAATCACAGGGTATATTTCTTAAGGTAGTGGGATATCCTCAGTCTTTTTGCCCTGGTCTGATCATTAAGTTCATAGAAAATTATGAACAAACTCGGCACCAAGTTAAAATTTTAATCTCTACCTAATTCTGGAAATGACATTTGGGGAAACTCATATTCAAATATACAAAAAGGGAGATTTGTTTCTAGAAGCATAGAAATACAAAATCTATCTTCAATCCAAGAATAAAAAATGCCAACTTTTCTTCCTATCACACAGTACATCCGTAAAATGTTTTAATTTAAAAAATAACATTTCATTTGTAAAATGCAAAATAATTTTGTCTGTCCTTCTAGAAAACAGCCTCATTCGAATACTTTCTCATTAAAGTGGATTTTTAAGTTGGATAATAAATAGAGCTGAGCAAAAGAGAGGGGAAAATGCAAAGGGTTTTTACAAAAATGTTCTTAACTTTTTTATTTTTAACTGTAGGAATTAAGACAATATTGATATTATACAAAGTGAAAAACACATTATTTTAAAAATTAGATAAAATCTGAAAATGTCTTTGCAAATAATTCACTTTTTGTTAATTTCAAAATTTAGAAAAGTCTCAAACTCCGAAGAAAAATCAGTGCCAATATTATGTTTCTTGCAAAACCAAACCAAACAGACAAATATTGAAGGGATACTTTTGTGTCATAAAGAAATTCTACATAGGGCCCAAACTGAGAGATTATCCATGCACAGGAAAATATATAAGCCATTACTTAACATTAAGCACATGCTCAAGTCAAAAGAAACCCTTTTAAAATAAGTGGGATTTGAAGACAAATACGAGCGTTATTCTGAGCAGAAGGAAAAGCTATTAAGATATATGCAGAAGTGCTTTTCCCGAATTGGGACAAAAGTCACTACCGGAAGCCCCAGGTCGTGACAGCACCGTGTCACTCAAAGGTTGTGCATGTGTGTGTATCTGTTAGATGTGCTCTTGGCCTTCAGTTTTGAACCATCACTCCTTCACTGCTCTGCACGGTTCCCTGACTATAATCAGAAAAGGTTGATAGAGAGAGGAAGACGAGTCTTCTCCTGACCCTGATTAGTGGCTTGGGAGGCTTCGGAAACATTGACAGCTAGTTGACCACTAAAGGAATTCACTCCCATCATTCCTGCATGGACTGACGTGTTAGCAAGGGCGGGGAGCTGGTTGTGATTGCGGGGGACACTGTAGAGTGCTTCTGCGATGTCTGCTGCTCTTTTCAGGATTATTTCCTAGAGGATAAGAAGGAAAAAAAAAGAATAAAAGAGTTACCAATGTGACTCTGACAAACCTTTTCTTACACACAAAAGTGAAACATTTCCCTGTCCAAAGGCAAAAACCAGATGCTTTTCTTTCTAAAGCAGTTGGCTGACTGATAGCAAATGCTTATAAGATCTGCTGCCTTCATGATAAATCCTGACATCTGTGGTAAGAGAGTTGGAAATTTCAGTCCCAGTGGCCACACTTCTGTATAACAAGACCAACTGGCAGAATGGGGCTGGAGCCTTGACTTACTCCACCTTAAAGCTATCTTTAGAGTAAGACTGAAAAATCACTAGTGGCAAGACATAATGTATATGTATAATGTATATCATTATATAGTATCTGGTGAAAGTGGGCAAATGCCTCCAGGGTTAATAACATGTTGCTTTTACAAGCACTAAATTCACACCCTTTATAAAAAGAAAACAAGCAAACTAAACCCCACTCCAGATATGACACTGCCCTCTATATTTATTCTTGTCTCACGTCGTAGTATTGTGTACCTTTAGCCCTTGATCTATCTATACATCTAAGAAATAGCCACGTTTGAGAATTGCTGAAGTAGAATGCATTTACCTGGTTATTATGTGGCATACCATAGAGTGCTTCTACTAAATCCGCAGCTCTCTTAAGTATTACTTCCTGTCAATACAAAAACAGATGCATTCTGAGTTCAATGACTCCTTGTGGGGGAAAACAAATATTAGAATCTTTTATACTATTTTATTAGTCACATCGCATTTTGGGTTTGATTTTCTTTTCTCCCACCAGGTACACCTTAATTGTAACAACTCTCAGCAACCACTGAATGGTGTTAAATCACTAGTTCATCCTATTCACACACACTCTTAATCAAGTCAAAAGGTGAGAATCATTGGTGCTGCAAAATAAAATACATCACTCAATTGTCTCTACCATCTGCACTATAAACCACTCATCGGTTTATTGCAGAATACAATCCTGAGGTCATTTACTAGATTACTGCAATCAGTGTCATTCAGAGCATGTTATGAATCCCTTCAATGTGTTTATTTTATTCTTAATTGCATGCTGCAGGAATTGTGACCTTACCCAGCAGGCCACATTCAAAAGATATCCAATCAGTCGTGAGCTACTAGTAATATAACCTTTCAGCTTCTTTAGTTTGTATCCTGATCCGATGGGTCAGGGTAGGATCCATGTACATAAAATGATGCACAAGAGGAAAACACATGCAGTGTAAGAGACCGGCCCAGCACTGCGCAGCGTTTCCTGGAAAAATTCCCTGCATGGACAGTAGAATTTAAAACAGTCTGGGATTTAGTTGTCCATTTGGGACATTTTTTTTTCTCTATTTTCCTATTTCTTCCTTTTCACTTAATATTTCTTACAGTGTTTTAAACTAGCATTCAAGTAATAATAGCATTTCCTGTATTCTTACATTTCACCATGTGGAAAAATCTCTATGAGCCATTTGATAGGAAATGTAAAAATGCATTGCAGAATTAACCCAGAAGATTTTTTTATTTTTCTTACTCTTTCAAAGCATAAGATCTATCAGATCCCCAACTGCCTGAGCAAAACCAGTCGAGACTCTCCTTTCAATAAAACAATATTTTTCTGTAATTCTCAGCCCTTATGTATTGCTGTAATGTACTAACACAATGCTGTTCACCACAGTATACTTCTGCAGGTAGCTTACAAAAATAGTACCAGTTCTAAGGATTTTACAGTTTTCTACAAAGTTAAACTTTTTAACTTAAAATATTTTACACAATAGCCATATTTTATACCAAAAAGAAACAGTAATGCTCAATTTTCATATACTGTAGACTCTGATCAGAAAATAGAGATATAATTGCGTTCATTTTGCTGTCACCATAACCTCTTCAAAAATCCTTGAACAACTCTTCAAATGACAAGCTTTTAGATGCATATTAGCATTTTTTTCAATTTTAAATTCTCTGTAATATAAGATAAAATAGTTGTCATACTGCAATAACTACTTATGACATATATAATGTCCTAAATTCAAAAATGAGATGGAGGATTTTTGTACTCCCAGTAAACATTTAGGTTTGCCTTCTGCTTCACGCACCCCTCGCTCAGAACACACATTTGAATTATTTTCCACATATGAAGTGAGATGTAATATATAATTGATGGATTTTTAAATCACTACATTTGAAACAGATTGTGAGGAGTTAAGATTCCAGTCTTTTTTCATTTGTTTGGGAGGTGGTTGGTTATTGCTCGCTCTTTCGCTCTTTCTTTCTTTCTTTCTTTCTTTCTTTCTTTCTTTCTTTCTTTCTTTCTTTCTTTCTGTTGTGGTTCTTGTTTAGGCATTTTTTCTGTGTGTAGCTTGACCACAACAGCTAACAGAATAATCATGGAGATACAGACTACAAACAACATCCAGGTACAATCAATCCTTGTTGCTTTACCAGAATCATCAGAACTGAGTTGCCCTTTTTGCCTCATACTAGATACAAACTAGAGAAGACCAGAGATGTTACTGAAAACTATTATCATTTTTAATCCATGATTTTAGGTGTAAAATTACTGCACAGGTGTTTGACTTTGCAAACTAGAATTTATTTCACTTCAGTAGAAATTGTTTGCACTATATATTTCACCGATGCAAAATTAGAATGTGATACAGAGCCCACAAACTGCTTTGGAATATTATTAACCTAAGCTGTCATTATGCCAAATTACTAAAAAAAGAGAAAGTTTAAATAGTCATTTCTGCTCTACCTGACTAATCATAGTTATTTATGCAATGCTGAGCTAAAAACCTTAGAATGCATCTAAAAAGAGATTGAAGACCACGTTAAAAAATGAGGTAATTACATGGAATCTTACAGCTGCTCTACCTAATAACAAATATATTCCAGTTCTTAAACACTGACAGTTCTTTGACGACATATCATATTGCATGTAAATAAAACTAATTGTCATGATGGTTTATTAAAATATGCTTGACAAGTAACATTCAATTTTCCTAGCTAGTCAATGGTTATACTTTTTCAACATTCGAGGAGTCTGTAAATTTGAGTTTCATCCTTTCTCTAACAATATTTTCACACAATAAAAGCATTTCTTGTTTATGACATTTTCAGATCATACAAAGCATTGTTACACAAAAATTCCCATGTCAAATAGTGGTATCTTCTATTCCAGAGCTGACGGTAGCTCTTATAGACAAAAACTAGCTTTAAAAATACACAATAAAATGCTACGACAGATATGGTCCAGATATTAACTTCTTGTTTTCTGAATGCATGTTAAACCCTTTCCACCTCTGCTTAAATTACCATGGAAGCTACCGTTATGGCTCCACATACAAAGGAGCCCCAAAAGTCCTCTATAAGTTAGAGCAACAGACCTTGCAAGGTGCTTGGATTGCAGTGACCAGAAAATTGTTCTCACCTCCATGTCATTACGCTCACAGTGAAGCAGCCCCCGAGCATGTTTGTGTTCGGGATCTAATATATTGCCTTTCAATCAGAGCTGAGAGCCACTGAACACATAGACAGAACATGACGAGCAGGTCAGGAAAGCAATAAAGATTTTACAGAGCTGTCCAAGGTGCTAAATTTACTCAATAATGGGTTTGGCACCATAGTGTTAACCTCTCATTTACTACCAGTTTGAGGGACTAAATTGAAGTAGCTGACTTCATTTACCTTGAAATGTATATTTTATGACATTATGTAAGTAGATTGAAAGGGCACTGCAGTTTTAACAATTTAAAGGCTAGAGCATGTTTAAGATGAAGCTCGAATATTTATTGTATATTGCACTTAAACTATATTGTATATTAAAATGCATTGATTAAATTTGTAAAAGGTATTATAAAAAAGGACAGCTAATATAAAAGATCTATGTCTTTTAAAATCCAATTGATACTGCATGTTACCACCACACTGGTGATAGATAAACAGATAGATAGGTGGACAGAGCAGCAGACAGACATATCAAAAAGTGACTGAAACTCTCACTCTATAAAAAGAAATCTCTGCATAGGCTCAAGGTCTGTTACTCCAGATATTCTTTTGTCCACATAATTTTTTATTTGCCTTCATCTCAGAAGCCCAGATTTTCATAGCAGTAAGTGGGCATCATGTAAGGTCCTTCCCACTGAATATGCAAGTAGAAATATTTCCTGAGAGACAGAGTTTGGCTAAAGCTAATATCTAATTTATGGGTGCATTTATCACAAAGATCCACTCTTCTATTAATACTGAAAGTCTGACAGCTTTGAGCTTAGAATAAAGGATTTTGCAGCATTTAGTTAGGGCTAAAGTGAGGGTCTTCTTGTCTTAACATTTCATTTCAAATGAGCATCATTTTATTTCTATAAAAATAACAATTGAACAAATATTGAAAAGAGGAAAGATTACTTCAGTGTTTAACTACGATGCATCAGAACTCTGCCCTCTGTGCAGCTACACATCACAGAGCCAGAGTCCATTTTTATTCCAAATTGAAGACGATTTGCTACTGAGGGATTTTTTTTTTTTACTTTTTTAATTTTTGAAACAGGAATGCAATTAAATATTTTGATCAAATTTTCCTCTTGAAAATACTAAGAGGTGTTTACATAAGCAAAAGAGGAGGCTGGGTAGTGAAGTCTGCTGCAACCTTGCATATTCCAAAATTACTACTGTAGGAAAAATTATATAAATCGTACCAGAACGACTGTGCTTTTGAAGCACAAAGACTGAAATTTAGACTGAATGCACTTCTTACAGAATGTACCTTGAGCCACCATTGCAGCAAATTTGCATGTTTTGTTTGTGGCATGCGTTCCCTTCAGAAGGAATTCATTAGGATCATGAAACTTGCATTTCAAGTTTTATCATGACGAAAACATTTTGTGTCAAGTTTTAACATGATAAACACATTTTGTGCCAGCTTTAAAAAAGATGGGTTATTTCTTCTGTGGCTGTCTGCTTACTTTTTATTCATCAGCTACTGGAAAAAACCCACACTGTGTCCCAAAAGGGCTGTGAGTCTAGTCAGCTAAAGGGTATCTAGAGTTACAATGAGTTATTCGGCTTAAGTAACTAAATTAGATAATGTTCAAGGTGCTTGTTAAAGCTAAATGATTTTTGTCAAGAAGAAGCTGACCACAATACATAATACTCATCAGCCACATATTGTAGTATTGAGACCACCAAAGGATTTATGTACTTGTGGAGGGCGTGGGGGGGAAGCTGTTCTAGCATACTCTGAGGCATTTATCTTATGTGTTGTCTAGATATCATATCACCTTCTAATGCTCTTTAGCATCGTAATACAAGAGAGAGCTCATTCATCTTCTGAGAGGGTACTTAGGGATGATGATGTCATTCATACTTCCTCGACTCTCATGTCTGACCTCCTGGCTCTGCCTTCTAACTTCCTACTCTCATGGCTACTTGCAAGAAAAAAACCTTTCTGCAGAGTCAAAATGCTGAACAGCAGACTCCAGTTCCCTTCTTCACCTTGGAAAGGTCACATTCTGAAATTTCAAGTCAAAATTACAATGATTTGTGCTCAAATTTTTCCTTTGTTTTTCAAAGGGTGAAACTGTTAATGCACTAGTTAAGGATATGTGATAGAACTAAGTTTCCAACTTATAACTGTGTACTTGTGTACACATTAGATTATATGTA